TGGAAGATGGAAGATGTAAAAAAAAAAAATGTTGCCTCTGGTGCATGAGAGTCTGTTTTTCATTTTGGTTTACTTAATGAATTTATTCTAGTGTTTAATTTAGCTGTAGTTACTGTATGCTAATAGTTGCTATATAGATTCTTTGCAGCACAAGTACATTCACATGATTATTCACTTATGTGTCTTTAGCAGGATTTTAGCTCCTCAGTTTGTTCCTAAATGTTGATGTCTTAGTATCACCAGTGAATAAAAAATAGATTTGCAGTCAGTGAAATAATACTTTGAAGATCCAATCTCTGAAGTTTATGAATCTATTCTGCAAGTAGTTTTCAATAAAGTTGGTCCAAATTTTTCATGAATAGCATTTTTTCCACAGAAAATACTGGTAAACCAAAGCCACATAATTTGTATTGGCTTCAGAAAAATTTCCAGTAGCATGCTCAAGCTAATTGAAAAATATGTTGCCTATTTGGTACCATTGTGGTTTTACTGCTTCATTCTGATTTGACTTCAGGAAGTTCTACTTCTCTTGCATGTTATTGCATGTGTCTGTTGACTTTGTGAATACATACAACATGAGGAAGAACTTTGCTGTCTGGGCTATTCAGTGCTGGAACAAATTGCCCAGTGAGGTTGTGGAGTCTCCCTGGAGATATTCAAAAGCTTTTTGAACACAATTCTGAGTAACATGCTCTAGAGAATCCTGCCTAAGTAGGGAGGCTCCTCCAGTGGTCCCTTACCATCATAGTTCAGGGCAAATTTGGAAGGAAACTCTCAAAGGGTTCTTTTTAGAAAGGAGATTTAAGTGGCTTTTCTCTCAACTGGGTCAGGAAAAGATTTTCTTGGAGAAAAGTGGAAAAAAATATTTATTTAACAAGCAAAATATTTACAAGCATAAAAAATGAATAATATTAAACATTAAAACCTTTCATTGTTCTGAAGAGAAGGCAAATTCAGAAAGTCCTTGTTGTGAGTTGTAGCTCGGCTCTCTCAGTCTCTTATCAGTCCCTCCTGTGCTGGAAAGCACTGCCTCCTGGGCCCTGCTGGGCTACAGGTGTGAATTACTGGTGTTTTTCTGGGTTTTTAGTCTAGAGAAGGGCTGATCAGTTCCAAGAAAAACAAAAGCCACAGTCCAGAGAACTTCTTTGTTTCAGCTGGCTAAAAGAAAAACCTAACTAAAAAGCAAAGGAGAGCTCTCTCTGTCTGTCCATGCTGCAGACAAGAGTCTGTGAGAGAGAATGCAGGGGAGTGAGTGTCATTTCTGATAACAAACTGTATGTTTCTCTTCCCAACTTCGCTCTCAGAACCAGTCATAAAAGTGCAGAATTTAACATCCAGCATCAACAGAACAGATGATTGAGGATAGAAGCATCATAAAGTCACTGTAGGACATTTACCCATTCTGTAATTCTGTGAAACTGCAATTAGACTTGAAGTCTACCCCTTCTTGTAGTTGTAAGATTTTCCATTTGAAACGGTGTCTATTTACAGTGGTGAAGGGAAGGGATTGCCCAGAAGAGCAGAAGGAGCAGTCTGTAAATAATTCTCTAGAAAAACAGATTTATTGCATACATAAGTATACTTCTTGAATGATGAAAAGGAGGGTGGGGACTTATTAATTTCCCAAGAAAGGGAACTACCTCTGATAATACTAATAATTCTGCTTGATCTGGCAACTTCACAATTTCCAAAGCCACAAACTGTGCTTATGGTTCTAGGAACTGCAGTACAGGCTGTTTGCAGCATTCCTCTGACCTTTACTTCAGAAGCAGAAACAGAAAGAAGTCCTCTACTTCTGGAACATTGCTAAGTGGAACAGTTAATTTGGAAGTTTTGCAATATGAATCCCAAGAATCAGTGACTGTGAATTACCTAAGCCAAACTCTGACGTAGAAGTACAGCCCTTCACTTTGAGAATGTCAGTGATGTGGAAGAAGACTGTAATCAGCCTAGGATCACCAGAGAAAACTTCTTCAAAATCTCAAAAGTTGTCATCCTTGTCTCAGAGATTGTCAATTGAATCTGTAATTGTGATCAGCTTTCAATTACTGAAAGAATATGGTTGCATTTTTTCACACCACCAGGCTGGACACTATTAGGAGATCAAGTGGCATATTACTTGGTAAGATATCACCTTTACTCGTGATTTTTTTAACCCAAAACTGTTGAGTGGCCTTTTGATGGCCATGCAGATGTTTTGACTGTGATGTGAAGAGGCTGGGTATTAATTGAGCATGATAAAACAAATTAAAAACAATCACAGAAAAGAGTATTCCCCAGAAGGTTACTTCAGGTGAAATGGAATCAAGCACTGTGTCTGCTGGCAATCTCAAGTTTAACTGTTGCTTCTCATGATTTCATCAATTCATTCCAGCAGCATGGCTCAACACACTTTAGCAAGTCTTTTCAGAGGCAGCAAAAATATAATTTCAAACACCCTGGAGCGACAAACTTCACCAGGTAATGCATGAGGATGCTGACCACAGCTATGCTTTCCTCTAGGGAGTAACAGAGACATTATATACTTTGTCTTAAAAAGGGCATCCACCAAGCTCTGTATTACCATGAGAAGCGCTCTTCTGTACATCAGGTGATGTTGCAGAGTACAACTCATCCTCTATCTTGTCCACAAGTGTCTGTAGGATGGCCCTGCCTCATGTATCAAACAAATAAAAACATATGGTAAGGAGGACATGCCCTGGTAAAGAGCAGTTTACCAGGTGGTGCACTTTGTAACAGGTGAAGAATAAAATGCTCCCAATGGTGTCTATGGAAAAGTGCAGCATCATGAATGAGCAATCCCAGAAACTTCTGCTGAGCTTTTGGAACATGACAATAAAACTTCAGAGGCAGCAAAAATTATAACTTTTAGCATGAAAATTTAGAAGTTCTTAAAATGCATGTAGACTTATTTTTCACGTGGATGATGTTGTTTTAAACCCTGAAATATTTTTTGCTCTTCTAACAAACTGGTATTTCTGTGCATTCAGCAGCCAGAACACTGATACATCTATTGTTCCTTTCTTTCATGAGGAAGCACCAATGCAAGGGAAAAAGAAGTCCAGAAAAACCTGACAGACATCACTGAAATCTATCTGTGCTCAAGACAATATCCTTATCAGATTGCATCAACCTTTAAATTTGTTCTCAAAACCCTTGTTGAACTTTTTTGGTTGTATCTTGAATAACATATCCCTCTACTTAATCCTGTGGATGGAACCATTGAAATGGCCTAAGTAGATGTGTTCTTCTAAACCTTTTAACCTCATAGCTCTTTTTCTGACTTTGACAAAATCACATACAGTACTATACACACTGCATCATATAATTGTTTGCTGTCAAGTCAAAGTACATTCATGCACAACCCTTCAACTGTGAAAAAGAAAATAACAACCACAATTATAAAAATGTTTCAGAGATACTGAATAAACCAAATTATCATTGAAAACCAACTATAAATTCACTTCTGAATGATGTAACTAAAAGCAATTCTTCATGCTTACACTATCCTTATACAAATCATATGAATGATATAGTCTCAGAAGGTTAATTTTGTGAAACATTCTTTACAGAATTTAGACTTTCTTTTAATGCAAATTTAGTCACTACTTTGTCGGGATAGCACTAATCTGTTGAGCATTCAGAACTAACATACAATGCACTCAAATTAAAAAAAATATATAAATACCCCATGTTCTTAGAACAGACTGAACTGACTTCAGCTTTAGATCTCTAGCAAAATCTACTTGCCAAAGCATGTTCTCTCAGCTAGAACAAAGGACAGATAACCTTCAAGACCTTGCAGAACTTTACAGAAAATAACAGGAACTAAACTATCTAAAATTGAAAACAAAGGTCTTGCTACTTGAGTAAATGTGCATAAAGAACATTTCAAAAAAGAAAGTAGTGACCCTCTTCGAGGAAGTTAGGAGTATGTTTCTTTGGGGGATGTCTGGTGCCAGAAGATATATTTTGGATTGAAGGCATCCCAGAACACAAACAAATGGACTGAAAGGCTGCATTTTAAAGAAGCCAGAGGCGTTTTCTGAACAAAATGGCCATTTTGCTCAAAACCCCATACTGAATACAGAAGGTATGGTATTGTAAATGCAGATTGTGTCTGCAGTTATGTGAAGAAAATGAAGAAAAGATCTAGGATTTGCTCTGTGATGCTAAAGTGTAATCTTCTAATATAAACTGTCAAAAGCACTCTTCCTTAAGTGGTATATATTTTGCCCGTAAATTTGCATGAATGCACAAGCAAACACAGTCTTGTTTTGAAATCGGCGTTATTGCGCAAATTCCAGCTGATCATCTGCAGTTTTAGAAAGAGCTGAAGTTAGTGCCTGAGGCACAGCTCCATAATAAGTAATAGCATAATAACAAAATTCCATAAAGAATCAGATCAAACGGCCAATATTCCTCAGTGGTAACAGCGAGAATTTTGATGTAAGAAACAAGGCAGGGCAGAATGGTTCTTTCCCTTTTGTACACATAATGATCTAAAAAGTAGTTCAGTTTCCCTTTAAAAAGCATTATGTGTTCCCATGCCTCAGATAGTGCTTCCAAGTAAGAGAGTCATTCCTCGGCCGTTGGGCAGATCTGGAAGCATCTGTCAAAGTGTCAAAATATGCAGCTGCAGAACATTGCAATGACTAAGATATGGAAAATGGAACAAAAATAATGTTCTCTGTTTTGGCTACTTAACCAGACAATTAAAAGAAAAATATATTTTCTATTAAATGGATATGCTTTGTTGTTTGCTGTACTGAAATAAGCTTGATCCTTACTTTCATTCCCCACTTCTTAGCAAAACCCTTTGCTGAAAAGGAATGCTTCCCAGGTTTTGTCAGAAAAGCAAAAGGAAGGAGTGTATTCACAAATCCAGTGAGAGGTCACCATTTTCTTTTGCGGGAGGTTGGGGTAGTCATACATTGAATATAGAGAGAGTCTGGCATTTTCTCTGAGAAATTTTTGAGATTTGAAATCATGTCCTTTACCTCCTGAAAGAGCATTCTAACTTCCTGGGTGTGGAATGGCTCTCAACTATTCCTGTTACAGTCCATCTTATGGCAACTGCAGAAAGAAAAGAGTGAGACACTAAAAACAGGAAGGAGAAGGGTGACTCTGGACATTCACTATAGAAATAGGCACCTAGACTCCCATTTCACTGAAATACTATTGCTTTCAAGGGTAAGTATAGAAAACCTTCCACTACTAAAGCAAATTCATTTAAGAGGCAGGAGATGCAAGTAGTCAGCAAGTTATGAAATGATTTTTTGCAACTTTAATCTCAAACAGACTTTTCTGCACAAGCTGGTGCTTGCTATGTATATGTTCACATTTTGGGAAATAAAAATTGTGTCTCCTTTTTCCCTTTCCTTATTTCTGACGTATGAAAGCATGCAACATTTTTAGTAAGTTCATTGTATTCGGTACTTTGTTCTTTAACAAAAAAAACCATACCAAGCTTAATAAAATTTTACCGGAAAAAAGATTCTAACCACTGTGTATTGATTTACAATATTTTTTTAGATTTCTCTGTACTTGAATGCTGCCAAGTTTGGCTTTTTGCTCCCTCTAAATGCTTATTATTGTATGAGGAAGCATTAAGCTTAATCCTGTTGTGGTTAAATAAGAAGGTTTAGTAATTTCATTCCGTGACTTCAACTGTTCTTAGCCATGCATGCATGTCTCTTGCTACTGTTTGATCTGCTCAGAAGAGATTTGGTTCAGAATGTCATCTATATGGAGATTCAGCATAGTTATGAATGTATGATTTCGGGGCTGATAACAATGATATTTGCTGTAAGATTGCATCTTCTTAGTTGTAAGTAGTTAAGGAAGAGAACAATAAAGCATTTTTGATGGTCATGTCATGGGCCTAAATTGCTCAAGGGATGGAGCCATGAAAAAAGGCAAATGAGACTGAAGTATTCCCCACCAGGAGGATTCCAGGGGAGCCAGTGAGCAGCAGTCATCTGGAATAGTTAAAACTCCAGTCACAGACATGCAAAAAATTAAACTGAAACTATGTCATTTGCAGGGAAGACTACAAGGGTGACAACAGAAATAGAGGATCTAAGTTATGAAAGGTAGTGGAAGGGTGTGATTTATTTAACTTTGTAAAAGGAAAGCTGAGAGGGGCTAAGATTGCTCTCCTCAAGGATAAACACCATGAGGGAACTGATCTGTTTAAGTTAAAGAACAATGCTGGCACAAGAACAAATACATATAGACTGACCCTTAAAAAATTCTTGGATTGGACATTAGAAGAATATCACTAACTATTATTAAACTGTTCTTCAAGAAGTCACAGCCATCCTGCAAGGTGTACACTTGCAGGTGAAGCTAAGAGATTTACATCTCTGAGTGAGAATGCACAGTCCAGAGGATGAGAGTAGCTCTGTAGGTGTATTTCTCTAGAAACACCAGTGTTTTTCTCCTTAAATTTGGTTTGCCAAATGAGTCTGAAGTTTTATTACCATGAATCCAGCTATAAAGGCTCTCTTCCAAGCTCTCTTTCAACCATGTATTCCCAGCTTATGCTCCCATTAATTTCTTAAAATATAGCTGATAGAAGTTCAATTCTTCTGTACTGTGATATAATTCATTTCAATTTTCAAGAGAAAATTATTGACTTAATACAGCATTTACTTGCTGATCTGCTCTGCCATGTGTATCTGGTCATAGCAAATGATCATAATAGTACCTTCTAGGCTTAAAGCCCATTAATCTGTGGATGACCTGACCATGGGTTCACTGGAAACCAGGGTTTCACTGTTTTTATAGTCAACAAGCACATTTTTTAAACAGCAAATTATTTTTGCCAACAGGGATTTTGAGGTGTCAGCTATAAAAGCTGCCATAAGCTTTCTTATGACATTGCAAAGAGAAAGCAAAGGGGCTTTGAAAATTACATCATTTACAATAGATTATTTACTTTTGGCTGTCAGTAATGAAAGATTTAGAGCCTAGCCCAAGTTTTATTGCAGAACAACATTAGGGGTTATGAACTTAAAGGCACCTGTTTTTTTTTATGTTTTAGAGTAATATGACATTTGCTGTCATATGCTTTAATATTTTCCTTGCAGGTAAAGCCTCTGTTCCATTACCAGCCTTTTACTGAGGAAAAATAAATCCAGCTATTGAAGACTTTCTCTAAAATATCTTCACTGTCATAGGGAACACAGGTAAAGGGGCAAATACTTGGCATGAAAAACAATAAGGTCTGTTGAGAAGAGTATAGTTAGATAAAAGAAAATAAAATAATTTTTCTAGAAGAAGCTAACAATATTTTAGTTACCGTCTTTTTATAATTAACATATCACTGAGGTCTCAGTAATTTTTTATTTTTGTAACATAGAATTGAGTAGCACTTTAATGATGGAATGAGAACTGTGCTCCTAAAATGGGACAGGAAAGGATGCTCAGGTTAGGAAGGAAATACAATGGAACTTAGGGTAAACACAGACTTAAGAAGAGGGACCAACTTGTCCAGACTAATTCCTGTTCCCTTCATTGAATAGTAGGTGAAATACCTAGTACATATTTTGGTGCATGCTATCTTTTATTCTTTAATGTGCCACTGAAGTAGTGTGTGAACTGAGTTCCTGAAAATCAATTTTTGGTCTCCAGAAGAAAATTTTCAATGTATGCAGATTGACATATAGACAATATTTTGTCTGTCTCTTGTCTGTCTGTGTGTGTCCATCCTTAAAAAGTCTTAGCAGCAATAAGAAAGAGTAAGAAAGGTGTTGAATATTTGCAGTTCTGTTGCAATGTGTGGCCAGTCCTCAGGGAAGAACTCTGAGGGATTTCATGTGATCTGGCAGTGTTTTTTGGGATACAAGAGATTAAAATAAGAGAGGTTTAAAGTCATATTAGTTTGAGTTTCCCTCACATGTGCCACTACACTCCCTCATGTGGGAAGTGAGAATCTTCATAGGAGAACTAAATTACAAAATTTCAGCTGAAAAGCATCAGGACTAAATTCTGGCATGCAGATATTTCTCTGGGACATGTTCATTTTAGGTCGAAAATTCTCTTTGGTTAACTCACTGAAAAGTAGGCTTTCACTTTAAAGTCCATCCCAACTATTCTGATTCATGAGATAATTAATTGCTAGGGGTCTTGCAGAAAGGTGTTTACTGGCAGAGGTGAATACAAAACAAATGTAGAACAAATGTGTTAATAAGGGGTATGAGAGAGAGACAAACTTTTTAGAGCTTCCTGTTCTCCCCTGAGATCTGGAAGAATAAGCTGTACCTCCAGCTCTCTGTATCATCTTGGCAAACATGCCATCTACTAAGCCCTGAAGCGGAGAAAAAGCCTTCTTCAGGCCTGTAACAACATTTATAGGGCTCCTATTTCAAACAGATATTTAAAAGGCAGATTGATGCAGAATGTACTGTTCAGATTAGTGCATAAGATATATCAAATACTTTTTGCTTTCTCAGTAAACTTAGTAATTTTTCAGTTTAGAGTAGGTTAGATAGATCAGATATTTAGACAAAAATAAACAAACCCAGAAGCCTAAGAGGTCACCATCAGGTGGATTACCCACTGCTAGAACTTCTCTGAGACTGTGAAATGGCTCCCACATCGCCAGCCCGACCACTGGATGTTGTGAGAAACATAAGGAATGGGACTAACACTAACAAAATGAAAAAAAAAAGAATTGTATTCAAGGAAGGAGACACATTTTGTAACTTTCTTCTTGCTTACATATGCTTTTGGAGAGTATCCATCTCTGTCTGATGCTGCTTTCCCTGTGAAGGGCTGTGTTTGTATATTATCTGGCCAGGGGCCTTCACCTCTTCTCAGCCCCTCTGACAATGGGGCTAAATATGAAGACGGTTTTTCAGCTCACCATGATTCCCCTCCTTGGGAGTGCCACTGCCTGTGTGTCCAGAATGTGTCAGTGTCTGTGGATCCCATAGGCCACCCCACACAGCCCTGTCCCAGCAGGTGACAAGGGGACGGGTGGTTTCGAGGGGCCCGTGGCAGGGCCTGGGGAGCCACCTGGGCCCGGTGCATGTCACAGGCCCACCCTGAGCGCTTGTCACAGGAGGCATGGTGAGCATCTGTGAGTCTGGGATCTGGGCTGCCTCCCTGGACCAACCCTTCCCAGAGCCCAGCTGGCAGTCCCCGTTCTGCTGGATGCTGGGAGAGGTCCTGAGGCTCTCACCTCACACACAGAAATGGAGTCTGAAGGTGGGAAGGAATGTGCTCCGCACGTGCACAGACAGACAGCGTTTCTTACCCGAGCAAATATTTGCATTTAGTAACCCATGCCTTTTTAAAGTTCTGATCTCTGAGAAGTACTCAGACAAGTCAGACGTTCAGGTGACTTCTGCAAGGTGAAAGGAGAGGGTAGGTACTGTCAGCAGTGTGTCTGTGGTCACAGGGAGCATGAGCCATGGAAATGGGGGAGGAGGGAGCTTGAAGTGGAAGGTGAAGGCTGGATGAAAACATGGGCTAATGGGTTCCAGGAAGGAATAGCAGCAGGCTGTTCCAGACCAGAAGCAACAGAAAAAATGCTCTGCTCTAACATTTTACACATGATATTGACACCTATGTTTAATCCACGTAGTTGCTAAACTGCACTGGATTTTAGTGAGTAATCTGGAAGTTATAAATGGACAAATATGGTAACTATGTGTGATCTACCTGTCCTTGCACCCAATAGCAGAAACTTGGAAAAGCTTTTGTTGTGAAAAATGTATCCCTCTCTCAGATGCTTTAGGCACTTTCAGACTTAGTGTGAGGGTTTTCCTACAACTTCATGATTTGCTGTGATTCCTTATTAGACAATTTGCTGTCTTTGCTACTATGTTCTGGTACTAAAAGTTCATAGAGAACCCTACTCAGCTGGCATACACAGTTAATTTGCTGGGAACACACCCATTCACTGATAAAATCACCCATATTTGCCCCATCCTCACCTCCCCCCCCAAAAAACAAATATTGTCAAGGTAAGGAATATTTCTTTCTTTTGTAGCCACACCCAGCATACTGCAACCATGACTCAGTCTTGTGTTCATCCTATGTGGCAAAACTATCAGCCTCATTTTGCAAGGATTGGAATAAATAACTATATTTTTCCAGCCTTATGAAAGCATAACAACTATAAATATTTCCTTCCAGAGGAAGACTATATCAAAATAATTTTCTGAATATCCTACTCTGAAATATTTCTGATTGTGACTATAATGTGAGGTGAAACTCTACTCTTACTTGCAGCCCTTTAAAGCTGGAACATATCTATTGACTTCAATAAAGAAATTCCAGATTTATGTTTCTTTAGGCAGAACTTGGCTAGAGTCCTTATGGATGAAAATTTTTCACAGGATTACAACTTTTAATATTCATGAGATATCATAAATCCCAAAGCAAATCTTTTATTTTTATGTTAAATCTTCTAAAACACTTATTACATATATCAAAAGTATATGAGAATATCAGGGGAATATAGGGCTTCATTGCTTCTTTTATGTCCAAACTCAAATAATTTTGAAATAATTCTCATTTATAAACTAGAAAATTGTGACAGGTCCCAGCTTTTTTTTTTGCCTCAGAGACAAAATCAAAGGATCTTATTATACAGTTAGTATACAAAGCTATTCCTCTTCTAAAGATCAGATCTTGCGAATATTTAGACATGTGCTTAAACTTTAGTAGGTAAGCAGCTTCAATTCAATGAAACTACTCATATACTATTCCTAATGTTTACTTGTAAATTGAAGCACTTTGAGAATATATATATATATATATATATATATACACACATATATATATATATACAAAGCCATTATTTGTGTTTATTTTATCTGAACACACCTGTCATAAGAGCATGCTGATCTGTAACTAATTTAGCCTTATGCATAATAATGATGATAATGAAGAAAATACAGAAGCATGGTCTAAACATCTACAGAATATGCAATGAGGCATAAACTAGTATGAAGTTAAAACATGGAGATGAACTTGTGGGGAAATGTTTTGATATACGATGTGAGGACAGAAAATATGTGAAAAAGAGACAGAAAAGCTATGAATGGTAATAAAATTGCCTAGGTTATTTGGTATAAGTAGCTTTTTTTTTGAATTTGCAGTTATTCATTGTTAGATAAGATTGAATTTTCTGTACTCCAGATCCATCAGAAGTAATTTATTAGATGTTGGAATGGTCATGAAAGGTCACCAAGGAAGGTGACAAAAGCAACATTGAAGAGATCTGTTGATCTCTATTTATAATTGTTAATACAGGTTCTAGAATTGGCACCACCTAAATATGAACCAAATCAACACACTTCAGTACTTTTCCTGAATATATTTTTTTAAATCTCAGTAAAGCCAATGTGGTGTTTGACAGTTTTACATCAAAGTATAGACCTTCATTTCACTTCAGTGGGTAAAAATATATTTATATCTTGTCTTGTGATTTATTAAATTTGTGTCACTGAAGGAGAAATTTAGCTGTACAAGTAGTATTCCTTATTCCTTATGAACAATACATGGAAATGGAAAGGTAATAAAACCATATGTAGGACAATAAAATAATGGAGATATTTATTATTTTAAATAGGTAACCTCAGATATGTATGCATGTTTGGATAAGTATATAGCCAAACTACTCTTCTAACTTGTTTTTTATTTAAATAATGTGCATATTTGCCTTTTGGCTTGTTTATTTAATATTGATATCTCTCATTAGTCTCTTAAAAGCAAATATTCTAGAAGTTCTGTTAATTCTTTAAAGTAACTGTACAGTCTCTTGCTTTAAAGTAGAACTGTTTTGTTTAATCTAAATAATCACAGCTGTGACAGCATGAAAAAATGAAAACATAGTGTAAATATTAGCATTCCACTTTGTCTCTTAGCTTAGTGACAGAAAATCATATGAATTTTTATGTTATGAAGACTATCACATCTCATATAAGATTCATGTTATTTCTCTATAGAATATATTTTAATGAAGACTCTAACAAATATTACAATTTTATCAGGCTTGGAAAAATTAAACTTTTTTCATATGAGTGGACTCAGGTAAAATATACTACTTCATTAGGCACATACATCACAAATATTCTTTCAGTGTTAGATAAAAAAATTATTTTCAGATCTCAATAAGACCAAGCATCTTGTTTCCTGAGATGTGAAATAGTCCTTCTACCTCTTCTCTTCTTCCTTTTTCTTACAAAAAAAAAAAATAAAGGAATTTAGTACAACTATCCTCTTTCTCTCTGAGATCAATTACAAAACAGCAATGTCAAATATGTGTTTCCACAAAACAAACCCCAAATCATTGCAAACTAGAATACACAGCAAAGAGATCATGTAAGACCATTATGCTTATCTTATTTACACCACTGTTCTTTCACTGTCAGAAGTAACTGTGAAGGGAGGGCATAACAAATTTATCACTTTTCTGATCCTTAGGGGAAATCATGCATAGGAACATGCATTGTAATGCCCCTTTACATATTAGCCTTGGATGAGTGTTGCTGTGGATTGTTCTTGATTTACACCTCCTGCTGTTCCATTTGTCATGACTAGATCCTTAGTCTGTCCTCTGGATTTTGTAATTCACCTCCATTGGATTCATCATCACATTAGGATGTGATCCATTGGTTTCTATACTTTCTGATTTCTCTTCCTAACTGTTGCACCACCAGACATGCAGTGAGACCAAGAACATAGAATTTCAGATAGGACTCTGTGAGCTAATGAGATTTTGGTTGACAATGGCCTATGTTGATATGCTAGTCTCACTGATTCTGAGCCTCACATAAGAGACCTCTTGCTAATGGAAGTTTTCTGATAATTATTTGTGACTAATTTGAAAAGATAGTATCACAATACACTCCCTCTGCCGTTTACCATTAAAAATACCTCAGACAAATAATGTCCTCATCATTAGGCCTGAGGCAGACTTGTGATAATCTGCTAATAATATCAGTGTAGGTTAGAGATTGCTAACACTTAACTCATCTGAGCTCAGTTTTTATCACCAGCCTTGTCTGACTATGAATACCTGCCTAAGACTGTCATGCAGGCCTTTGTATTGTGTGGTCTAAACCATTTGACTGCTTCTTTTGGCATAGTACCCTCTTTGTACCTTTGAATATTCTACTGCAAATTTACTGAGATCTTGCGAATCACAGCAGTGTATGTTACACAGAAAAAGTCATTCTTCATATCCTACTTGCAAACAGATTTTCAGAAAAGCAATAAATAATTACAATTATGCAGTCCTCCCCAAAACATCTATACTGTGTATCCATCTCCAGAAGCACTGACTTTTCTCATCTGACCAGTTTTTGTGGAATTATTATTATTATTTTAACATCCTGTACAGTACTCCATTAGACGTGACTCACGGTAATGTAACAACAAAACACCTCTCTGTCTCATCTGTTCCATTTTCTGCTGTTGAAACTTTGTGTGCTGTAATTCCTACTGGCAAATATGGCAGCCAGGTTTCCCTTCTCAGTTTCTATAAAATCTCATTCTGCTTCAGTCAGAGTTCGCTTTACTTGTACTGTAGAAATTTCCAAGCTATCTTTGCATGCTGAAATGATGTTTGGGCTGGAGAGATTAGTCTAGAAAAGAATAGAGTGCCTGAAAAGCAATGTGATGCCTGGAAAGTCAGACACAGGAGAGTTAAAGCTATGAACTTATGTCCATTTGTTGGACAGCAAGGACTCACATATTAGAACACTGTATCTAGTTG